TTCAGCTGAAAGACCACATTCTCCCCTAAATGGCTGGAATGGTACAAGTTGTTGCTTCTCCTTCAGGCGTGGGAGTTGGCAGATCCCAACTCCAAACTAGTTGCCCTCGAGTTCATTCCAACTCATGGCGACCCCATGTGTGTCAGAGGAGAATTGTGCCCCATGGGGTTTTCAGTGGCTAATTTTTCTGAAGTAGACCTCTAGGTCTTTCTTCCAAGCCATCTCTGAGGAACTCAAACCTCCAGCCTTTCAGGTAGCAGCTGAGTGCATTGACTGTTTGTACCAACAAGCTGATCCTGATTGGGGAAAAGGCTCAGAATACCAGGATGCTTGTTAGAGTGGCTTTGTGTAGAAAGTGAGGTTGAGTTGTTTTGAGTGCTGGTGAATGAGGAGGTGCCTGTTGGTGAGGATGGTAGTCAGAGGGGGATGACAGAGAGGTGGACTTGAGGCACAGAGCAGAAAGTTGAGAGAAAGGAAAGGTGTCGGCTCTGAGAAGAATTCCCTGTTGGCCAAATTACTGTGCATTTGGCCTTCCAGCTCCATTAACCATGGGTGCTGTTTGCTGCATTCCTGCAAATCACATTAAACCTTTTTAAGTAACTGAAGATGTTTCAAAAAAAACTAAGAAAGAAAAAATGGAAGAGTAATATAAGGTTGAGATGACCTTCACAGTGAGAAGTGTTAGGAAAGAATGGAGGTTTAGAGGGTCCAGTGAGCTAGGGCTGCTCAAAGGTCATGTTGACAGAAGATTGACTGTGATCTCCTATCCTCCCCCCTCCTAGCCCTTTTCCCAATTTATTTCAAAGAAGAGTATGGAAAACTCTTCACAGTCTCTGAAGGGTTACTGTTCATGCTGTCTTGACCTCATCTGGTGATCCTCTGATATAACAGAATAGTTCCTGTCAGTCTGTGTGGCATAGCCAGGCAGAATGCAACTTTCTGTCACGTTGTTGGTATCTGATGTACACGAACATTTATCCATGTGAGTGTATGTGGGTGTATGTGTGTGATGCCCATTGGGGGGAAAAATCACCTTTTCAGAGAGTCTATCCTATTAATGTATCCGTCACGGACAACTTAAAAACAGACTTTTTTTTTTTTTTTTTAATT